TTAACCCACATCAATTCCCCAATCTGTTCTGATATGCAGCCACACAAACACCTACACTGATACAACCGGCTAGAAGAAAACTGCTCCCTTCAACAGCAGTGCTGGCTGAAAGTGTAAATGAAACTTAAGACCTTCTGGTGTTTGCAGATTTTCTTAACCAAAGTTAGCAAAGCGAAAGTTAGACTGAAAAACAGATTAAAGGCCAAGTTCAAAATCAGTACGAGACATAAGATAACTTTACATAAACTTTCAGATAAGCTCTTTATAAGCTCTCAAAATTTTGTCCCAAATCACAAGCTATTAGTCTCAAAACTAACTGTGCTATGGGAAACAAAACCAAATTTAAAAGTCAGTAATAGATACAAGAAACAAATTTTAGATTTAATCTAAAATATATAAAAGCCAGTTAAGGAAATACAGCAAAGAACTCAGTTGTGGGGAAGTTGGAAAACAAGGCCTTTAAGTTACATGAACAAAATCTACCTTGGAGGCCTCAAAGAAAGGTTTTGAGCTGGTAAGATAAAGACTGAGATGGACAATTCTGCAATACTCTAGCAACCTTGTTCCCCAGATTTTCTCTAACACACAAATATTCGAGCAAAAATGCTCCAGATATCTTATTTGTTTTGTTACCTTACTTCTAAATATTAGCCAACAGTATAATAACTTGCTTCTGAGAGGTTACCAGTCTGTTCATTTTCAAACAAACTTTCCCTTTTTTACTTAAATTATTAGAATAAGTGTATTCTGGGTCAATACCATCCATCCATTTCTTAAGTAAAAATGTATTTAATGACCTTTTGCTTTTATTTTGATTTCATGAAATTACACTTGCCCTAAGAAGATGGAATAAAAGTTACCTCTTTTTCAGAGCTACAGATTTAAGACTTCTAAGCAAATAGGCATCGTAAACTCAGCATAGTAAATTTATAGCAGTATAGCATCGTTTCCTTTAGCTCTGAGTTACTTTCAATTTAGTTAAGCTCCTGAATGCAATTTAAAGGCAAGCTGGGATAGGGGTCTTCCTTATTAGCTAATAATTTCCATTCATAACACTTTATCTTAATTAAACATTTTTATACCTTTTCTTTACTCATGCTTTCCTCCAGATAATTCTAATGGTGAGCCACTGTTGTCCTACTCTCTTCTGATCATTTTTTAAATAAAATTAATGATGGAGTATTATGGATCTCTTCTTTTCTTGAGTTTGCAGGTAGCTATAAAGAAGGTGAATAGAGTTTAGAAAATAAACTTGACCAATAAGTGAGTGTAGATATTTGAAAGCTTTCTCATTAAGCTTTCTGAGTGGTGACAAGAGGAACTACTCAAGCAATACCAGCTACTTATACCACCTTTCTTTGTCAGCTAATTTAAATTCTTAAGTAATCAAATTAGATTGTTTACTAACCAGACAGGAGTTACCATTTATAGCAGCATGCAACAAACACAGTCCCATGATTTAAAGGTGCCTCTTTTAAGTTTCAGCAGATATACTAAAAAACAGAACATTTAGTAAATTTATTCACACTGGTACTTAAGAATGTGTCAAATTAGTACAACTAGTCAAAAAAATATATAAAGCCAATACTTAAATGGGTGAACTATGATCTAACATAATTTGCACTCCAACATTGTAGTCAGGGTGACAAATATCATCTAGTCCCCCAAAAATGTTTCTTTGGATAATTCCATAAATTGTGCTTTACAGAATTAGATCCTCCTCTCAAAAGTAATGCAAAATCTTTTGCTAACCTAAGCAGTAGGAAAGAATTTTGAATGTGAGCTCAACAAATCTACCACTCTTTATATTATGTGCCATGAAGTATTTAAATAATAAATAACAATTAATATAGATTAATGTAACAATTAATATCAATATATTAATAATACCATTAATAATGGCAATACTTTTACTAAGGAAAGAACAAGGTCCGTGATCTGACTTATGACTAGTTAAATCAGTGCAAAGACACTAATGGGTACTGAATCACAATCTTAGTGGAAACAAAAGTCTCCAAATCCCAGACATAGTTGGACCTTTGGGACCTTATTATTCAGAATAGTAAAAATTCAGTACGATAATTTCTAATGTAAACACACATTCTTTTAGTATACTATGGTTTCTCCTCTGAAAGTGAGTATGAGTGGAGATTTCAGAAGGAAGGGTCTGGCTGAGTCATTTCATGTAGAAGACTGGAGAACCACTGCAGTTTTATGATGGCACCTGCCTCACAATGTTAATGTTATATATTAGCCAACAGTAACAAGGATTGTTCTCTTGCCTCAGGTGCTCCCTTCCAATATTCCTAATGGCCAGGTTCACACACATGCTAATTTATCATATGCTAATTTATCATCACAAAACCAACTGTATAGATGGTGACTTAACTGTGTATATCAAACTGTGCTTTCTGTAATAGAGAGTTACAGATCCTTTCATATGTTTGTTTTAAGCAGACATTATGAGTCCAGTGAGGTCTAAAGACCTAATCACGTTTCAAATTTAGCACAAGTATGAAATTTAGCTTGGCAATGCCTGGACTGGATGTGACCTGCCAGCATTTCCTCAGAACAGTATACAGCATAAACAGGGTATTTTGAAAGCCATAAAACCAAGGAAGATAAAACGTGATCTTTGGGAACACAGATGCAGGGAAGCATAAAATCGTGAGGAAACAAGATACGGTTCAATCTCGTGAGCCATTTTTATACATTTAGGACTCTCACTGAGGTCAGGTAAGTTTATCACATAGGACTTGAAAATTAAAACTAAGCCAGGCTCAGGCACGAGGAGAGCGTGAGACAATCATGAGCAAAACGCGATGACTAACCACTGTGGGCTTTCTGTTTTCGTAGCATGGGGGATGTGTGAAGGAGTATAAAGCCGGTGACAATTCCTGAGGGAAGCCTCAAATCAGTACAAAATATGAAAAAAAAAAAGGGGGGGGGGGGGGGAGGAAAAGTAATCGAAGAAGGGGCACTGAACTGCAATGACCTCAAAAGATTAAACTGAAACGGGGATGGAGGGGGAAGACTGGAAAGGTAAACCCATCCGCCGCCGGAGCCGCTCAGCTTAACGGGCCCTCCTGGCTCGGGCGGGACAGCACAGCCTCCGGAGGAACTCAGCCTGAGCTGCACCGGAGCCCGCCCCGACACCTCAACGGGCCTTACCGGCGGGAACGCCCCGTCCCGGGGCCCCGGGGCGCTGAGGGATGCCCCGGCCGCGGGTCGCCG